TCTCGTCCACGGTGAGGGTTCCATCATTAAGGCTGTTTCCGAGAAAGTCTATATATTGCAAGAGCCAAACGCTTCTTGGATTCTGTTGGAGCCTAAAGAAAGAGATATCAGCTTCAGAACGGGGTGGAGGACAAATAACCAATATGCGTGTGTGTGTTGAGGATAAATAGGTGACATTACCATTTTCAAAAAATATTAGGGCTTAATAAATCTTCGTTACAGCAGATATAACTTCAACAGTGCATAAATCTGTTGGGAAAGCTGAAACTCTTGGGTGCTTCTCGTTGTGATCGATAAATACAATGCTTCTGCAAGTATCCCCTCCCGTGCCTGGGGAAGTTCTAGAAGCTTTTTGATTGGCACGTGATTTTCGGAGATTCCAGCCCGTTGTTACTTGAACTCTCTGGGCACTTGACGACACTCGCCCGCTCATACATGTGTGTCAACCGTTCAACCTGACCATTCTCTGGGAAGCCCAACGGGGCCATGGATGGCTGTTGCTTGTGAGACCTGGCTTGTTAGCGGTCTATTCGAGGAATCTATCCTTTGGCCGAAGATGGTCCAATGTGATATATCATCATCCTTCTTCTCGAGCCAAGCGCTTTATTCCAGCGATGTACTGGCCAAATGGAGTCCCTAGAGTCTATGCGGTCAATGGCCCCGGAATTCAATTACAGGAAGTCCATGATGATGCGGACAGCGATGCTAACAAGCCCAAGGAGAGAGAGGAACGGGACTCCAGTGTGGAGCACACCAGGGCAACAACCGAGAGCAGCATAGACAGCAGAGAATCCTGGCCAGATGAACCCGTAACTGGGCTTTGTGTTTCCCGTAACGGACACTTATTTGCCACGATGACGAAGTCCACCATTGCAATTTGGCAAACTAGAGTACGTTGTTTACCCACCTTCATATCTGAATTTGATATACTGACGGATTCATAGCCGACAGCTGTGGTAGCCGCGGTCAAGCGCTCCGAAATTTCATTAGAAAGTTACGGCCCGAATGCTGCCCTACTTCTGCGTCCGGACTCCGCCATTGTCGTTGTACAGACGCTCCATGGATATCTCATCACTTATTCCATTGCGACAGATGCCAATTCACATGTGTACCAACAACGATTCTCCTCCCATTCCAACCCACATCGCCACCACTTTAGTCGCCATTTTGTCACGGAAGAAACAAATACCATTCGGGAGGTTAGCTTTCGTTTCAGGGTTGTCATAAAGGTTGATGCAGGAATTAGCAAAGCTCTGGCGCTGGACAATGAGCTGATGGTGGCGACGGTGAAACCAGCCGCTATCCAGTTAATTCGGTGGACTCCTGATAAAACTGGAAATCAAACGAGCACAGAGCTTTTAAGCCGGATCCCATTTATTTCTAAGAAGTCTCCAATTGTGGATATGGTCTACGACCGTGCTATGAACCTTTTTCTGTGGATCACGAGTGACGGGCAAACGTATGCTGTGCAACGCCTCAGGGATGAAGAAGAACATTCAGCCGAGTCAAAGACCCGGTTCAGGGGTCATAGGTTCCATACTCCTGAAAATGACGGACAAAAGGCTCTTCACATGGCTGTGAATGCGAGATTTTCTCTACTCGCAGTGTCCTGTAAAAATGGCGAGGTGTTTGTTTACGTAGCGAAAGATTATATGGGAAACATACCGCTTTCGCATAAGCTCGAGCTACCCGCATCGCCAGCGTCTATGGGTCCTACATCATTTATGAGCTATTCTCCTGATGGGTATTGCATTTTCGCAGGATATGAGTCTGGATGGGCCACATGGAGTGTGTTTGGTAAACCCGGCGGAACTAGCTTTACTACCGACCGTGAGCTAGCCACCAAAAATGGCGAGGCTTGGTTGACTGGAGTTTCTATGGGTTGTTGGATTGGTGGTGGCTCATACATCATCCTGATAGCACCAGATACTAGCCATATCTGGATGTTTGAAACAGCCCGTAGTGCTCTGACTGGATGCTTCTCCTCGGCGAACATGGCGAGAGCGTTATTGCAAACGGGGACGGAAATCATTTTGTATCGTGGCCACGACTTACCAGATCTCACTACTATATCGGGTAAAGATTACCTCTGGCATCATGCGCAGTATCCCCCTGCTTACCTCCATGCTCAATGGCCAATCCGGTCTTGTATTGTTTCTCAAGATGGCCGATATGTGGCCATTGCTGGCAGAAGAGGGTTGGCCCATTATAGTGTTCAGAGTGGGAGATGGAAAACATTCGATGACTTGAAAGCTGAAGATTCTTTTGCTGTTCAAGGGGGGATGTGTTGGTATGGACATATCTTAATCGCTGCTGTTGAATGTGATAATTCCTACGAGGTAAGTGTTGTCAATTTTCTCCATATTAATACCACTTCTTGAAACTAATTAGCATAGTTACGGCTATACTCTCGTGAGCTTTCCCTTAGCAGTTCTTCTGTGCTATATACCGAAACTCTTCCTGCTCCTGCGGTATTTATTGGACCCTCAGGAGAAGACTCGCTCCTGGTTTACACGTATGATAATATATTATATCACTACGTGATAAATGCCACTCAAACGAAAATCAGCCTTGTTCAGGTTGGCCAGATAGCCTTTCATGGCATCGTTAGAGCGCCAACGCGAGTTCGTGCTATCAGCTGGGTATTGCCCGACAACCAGCTTCGTAAGAAATCTTACCCATTCCTCTTTTTATTTTGGTACTGCGAAACTAACTAGCTTCAAAGGAGATGGCGACCCATCCCAGGACGTATCTGTCGCATCAGTTTTGTTCCTCGTTGACGGAAAACTTGTATTGCTACAACCATCAGTTTCAGAGGAGGGTGATTTAAAATATGACATGCGCATTGTTGCTCATGATGTGGAGTACTACATTTTAATGCGTGATCAGCTATCTTTCAACTTCGCTCCACCCTCCGACGAACCAACCACTCCAGCAGTGGGAACACCAGTTAACGTTTCCCAGACCGACATATCCCTAAGAGATTCTTTGTGGATATTTTGTGGTCAAGATTTACTCGTATGGGGTGACGTACAGGATGTTCTTCGTCCAGTCAAAGGTTCTCCAAATGAGACAGCAAAGCCCCTACCGATACCGGTTGACTTTTACCCATTGTCTATACTTCTTAATAAAGGAGTTGTACTTGGGGCAGAGCCTGAAATGATTCAGAGACGAGATGCCACGTTTTCCCTCCTTCGATTTGCAATTAGAGTAAGTTGCCATCCGTACCAGACACAATCTCAAGCACCCGCCATTTAACCTCTAGTTATTATTATTAGACACAACTGTTCCTACCATACCTCCTCCAGCACAATCTAGGTCAGCTTGACACACCAGCGGCGCTTTCCCTCTGTCATCATTATTCGCATTTATCCTATTTTCCTCACGCGTTAGAAATACTATTACACCATGTGCTAGATGATGAAGTAGACAATCAAGATCGCGAAGCCCAGCAGTCTAGTGCACCAAGTCACCAGATGTTGCCTGCTGTGCTTTCCTTCTTGCAGTCCGCTATTCCAACCGATGTTTATCTGGAAATTCTGGTTCAGTGTACCAGAAAACAGAACTTCGATCATGGCGTACCCTGTTTGCTTACCTTCCCCCTCCAAAGGAACTATTCGAACAAGCCCTCAGACTAAACTCTCTGAAGACAGCTGGTGGCTATTTATTAGTGCTTCAAGCGTTTGATGAGAAAGAGGATGGAGATGCAGAGGGGATCGAAGATTCCGTCATACGCCTTCTCCAACTAGCTTCACAGAGAGGCGACTGGGAGCTCTGCGGGGAGCTAGCCCGTTTCCTAATTGCCTTAGACGGATCCGGGCAGACGCTCCAGCGTGCAGTTGTTAAGGTTGGATTGAGAAAGGAAAATCAGTCGTCGTCAGACGCTTTAGACGTGAGCCATGTCGATCGCGGGCCGACACCCTCAACTAGAACTTTGGGGCTGGCCATCAATCTACTGGATGAAGCCTCCATGACAAAGGAGGAAGGTAAACGGTGTTCCTTCGCCACCTAGTCTGTCTCACACATCATAAACTCCTTCGCCGTTCGCCCCACATCCATCCCAAAACCATCGGATGCTACTGATGAAGACAAGGCGGTGCTGAGGCAACCTTGGGTCATGATCATTAGCCCCAACTTGCGATTATGCCTAATATGCGTGCATTCTTATGGCTATGCCCCTTCGTGCATTGAGCATTCCACTATTTATGATCTCTCCCTTTTCATTTTATTGCTGATATATACATACGCATTGTTTTCAAATATTTCGGCTTCGTGTATTCCTAGCTATATAGGCCCGTCTGAAGTTTATTTATTGTCCCGCCGTACCATGGGCAGGCGGTTCTTCACAGGTTAATCGGAAGGCTCCCTTTTTGGTCATTATAATAGGATAATTCTCGTACCTAGCTCCTGTATATACAAATTGCTACTTCTATCCTTAGATATATAAAATGGTAGATGTGACATCCTAATGCTGAATATCTGCTGAGGTTGGTTGATAATTTATTTCGAATAATCGAAGCAGGTGGTTTATTCGGTTTTATTGTAGGATCCCGCATTCATTTATTAATGAGGGAAGATACGGTATGTTCATGAAAGGTAAGTTGGGCGTATTGCCCAATCCAAGATATTTGGATTCCAATCACAGACAAATGTAAAATCAGCCTAGATAAGGTATTGTATATCCCAGTCTTCCCGATTTTTTCGGCCAAATCCCGCCCAAACACCCACAATCTACAATAGAAACCAACCCAAGTCTCGTTAAATCATAAATATTAAACCAGGGGAGAAAAAAACGAAAAAACGAAAAAACGAAAAAAAAAAAAAAAAAAAAAAAAAAAAAAAAAAAAGAGAGAGAGAGAGAGAGAGAGAGAAGTAGATCCGCGCTCCCCTATCGCTAAACACCTCATATATCATCCCACAACGTCAACCTTCCACAGCCCATCACCCAAATAATGTCCCTCATCCATGACAACCCCTTTCCCTTTCTTCTTCATCTCCTCCGTGCCTACTTTCAAGGGACCAACCATGCAAATCTCTTCCTTCCCCTCTGCCTTGATCGCCACCACTTCGCCAGCCTCAATCTCTCGTTCGCCAGGAACTTTTACAGGGTCGGGCAGACTGCCACCAGCTGAAGTGAGGCCGGGTGCCATGAGTGCGGCGCCTGAGAGGACGAAACGGATCGCGCCCCTATCTATCCCGATGGTGGGAACGGCATCGGGGAATTTGTGCAGAACCCGTAAATGTGGGATTGGAGGGTTGTCGAAGGATTGGTAGAGGATGGGACGTGAGTCTATTGTGTAGAGGGTTACACGATCCGGTACGTGTCTGTAGAATAGAAAGGGGGTTAGGGGATGCTGTGTGCTGGAGGAGATGGGCATTGATGTGTTGGTGGTTGGGGTCGGTTTCGCGTACTCACAACTTGATGGCCTCCAGGGAAGCCTTTTTGGGGATTAGCTCATCGATATAGGGCTCGAATCCGGGATATGTCTCGACGAGCTTTTGCTTGATAGCACGCTGAACGGAGGATTTGACTTTGGACCTTGCACCTAAAGAGACGCTGGAACAGATCTGTAAGTAGATTTTCTTATTTGGGTTATAATTTAGATCAATGAGAAAAGCAATCGGAGGAAAAGATATGCGAGCATTCGTTTACAGAGGATGGGGCAGTATTATGTCTGTCTGATTTAACACTTGCTCTCAATGGAGAATGCGGGGTTTGCCGATTCAATACGGGGAAAAACTGTAAGGGAGGGCAATACTTACTCCTTTTTAAACATTGTAAATAGATGGACAAAAAAAAACCAGCAAACGGGAATTGCCAGATCTCTAAGGAACCGGTATATGTATATGCTTTGTTCGTTGAGCTAAATGAATCCAGTTGAAGTCCGAGATAAACATAATGTAAGTTGCACAAGTGGCACAAAGCGCCTGACGCGGCGGAATAGTGGCGATTGAAGTCGCTAGTTATACATTGAATTTCACAAAGCCATCATACCTAGGTGAAAAGGACTTACATGGAGGGATTTCAGTTCATGATAAAATTACTAATATTTGAATTTATTCATCCGGCTATGAAACAGTCAAAGGTAAAGATTTATATGCTTGTCCTATGCCTTTGCAGCGCCGGCTTTAATCAAGATTATATCTCCATCTTCCACAACATAATCTTTCCCCTTCGTAAGGACTTTTCCTGCAGCCTTAACGGCTGTCTCGTCCCCATACTCACGTAACACATCATAGTTGAACACAACACACTGAATGAAAGTCTTCTCAAAGTCTGTAGCAACGGAGACAAATCAGTATTGTACTCACTGCGGTGGGGGAAAGTGGATCTCACAAACGGGGAGACATTAAAAATATGACTTACCAGTGTGAATGACACCAGCGGCCTGGGGAGCTTTAGTGCCTTTCCGAATTGTCCATTGTCTCACTTCATCAGCGCCAGTGGTGAAAAAGCTACCAAGCTGAAGGGATTGTCGCATGGTTAAAATGATCTTGGGGAGAGCCGATTTGGTTCCAAGCTTCTTGCATTCCTCCTCGGCTGCAACATCATCTTCAAAGCGGGTCAGCCTGTCTTCGAAAGAGACAGAGACTGGGATTATAGGATCGCTGGGGGAGTTGGCTTTGATCCATTCCGCAACTTTAGGCAGGTACTTGTTCTTCTGCCGGATGTAGTCCCTTTCGCTGAGATTGACCAAATACACAACTGGCTTAGCAGTCAGGAGAAAGAGAGGGTTGATTACTTCAACCTGTGTATTGACAAAACGTGGTTAACATTGGTATTGCAACCAAAATAACATCCCATATGAATAGCACATATTAATGGTGAAATACAAATCAGGGTTGGACTTAAATCTCAATATAGCCTCAAACGTGAGATATAAAACGAGGCCATTCGAAGAGCTGGGATTATAACGAGCGTTGTGCTCTTGTTCATCACAGTAATTGAACCAGAGGATAATAACGAGAAGGGAGAAACGAAAAGCTGAAAGCTGGAACATACCTCTTTAGGATTCCAATCACCTTTCCTTATATCCTTGCCTTCCCTTAACCACTCCAGTATCCTGCCAACGGTAGCCTCCTCCTCCTTCAATTTCTTCATCTCCAAGCTCTGACCTCCTCTCCTAGTTTGTTTTGAAAGGGCTTCGAGGGCCTTTTCTACGAATTCAATATCTTTGATCCGTAGCTCCTCGCTGATGATGTTCAGGTCCCGAACGGGGTCAACGTCACCCTCGACGTGAATGATTTCTGCATCGTCGAAACATCGAACAACTTGGAAAATGGCATCTACAGCACGAATATGTGACAGGAAAGCATTTCCAAGACCAGCACCGGTTGAGGCGCCGCGAGTTAGACCAGCGATATCATACACCGTCAGGTTCGCAGGTACTCTCGACTTTGGTTTATAATGCTCACATAGCCAATCATATCTCGCATCCGGAACAACGACACGGGCCTCTTCAGGATCAATAGTCGCAAAAGGGAAGTTCGCGGGATTACCCAACGAACATCTTGTGATAGCCTGAAAAAGCGTCGATTTGCCTACGTTTGCTAGACCAACCTGGCAAAATCAGAGATGTCAGTAAACCAAGTCTGGTAAGAGGCATGCAATACGAACTGAAATGTAAATGGCGGGACAACCTAAAGTAGAATTACATGAGGGACCTCGGGATCTTAGAATAAGTAAGTGGAGGGGAATCGGAAAGGCGGGAATCAATAGTCAAGGAAGTACAGCAAAATTGACACTATGAGTAACTGGTTCCCACGTACGATACCACTCTTCAAGTTATTCCCTGGGCGACCCAAGGGAATTTTCTCCTCCTTAACTACCTTCTTGGGACCCATTTTCTTCTTTCTACTTGCGAAAGTGCGGCAAAAAATCAAACAGAGTGGAGATTGAGAGGAGCTGTTTGGGTATAATGGTGAGGAGGTGAGACCGTGTGAGGATAAGGCAGAACCAGCTACTATTCTTCCAAATTGGGGTGTTAGAGAAGCAAAAAGAGTTCGATGAGCCACAAGGAACGAAATGGTGACGAATTGCGGCCTGGAAAGGCACCAAAAAAAATTGTTAAGAGGTGGTGGGAGGGGAGCGAGGGGTATCAAAACGTTTAATCTTCAGGGATCGAGCATTAGACAGAAATGGAAAAGGCTAAACCCGAGTGGCTCAAGCTAGAATATCACTGCTGCTGCGGTGTTTTATTCGTTGTTTGGACGTTATTGTTTGCAGTGATTGAAGGCTGATGTTGATGTTCGACAGTGTGTTCCGCCTCCAAATTGCCCCAAGGCGCTAATCATATCACGTGTAATACGCGCCCTAACCCCAGTAGCGTTTGAGGTGAGTGACGATGAATTTGGTGAGAAAGAATGGAAGATTGTAAAAGACATTCAGTCAATAATTTGAACAGAGTCAATAATTTGAACAGAGTCAATAATTTGAACAGAGTCAATAATTTGAACAGAGAAACATGTTGCTGAGCGAACATCCATGGCTTGTGTATTATCAGCTAACTTAACATATACAACGCCGTTGTCTTCTTTTTTTTTTTAGTAAAAACGCCAGTTTTGATGCTTTCCATCTGACACATGCACATATAGAAAGTATGCCTCTCTGGCAGTTGCTGTAGAGAACGATCTTTTAACTATCAATTAGTGGTTTACTGTGACGGGTTAACACCCGTAGTAGTTAGCTTATGCAACCAATCTCTCACATGCCCACGCGCTCCCATAAGACACTCCTCTCCTCGCGATTCCACTCCGCGCTCACATAGTCTCTAACAATAAAGACCTCTTGTGATATAAGCAGCTAATTCCAGCCCCGCTGCTTACATTGATATTTTTATCATTACAGTGTTTTTATTGTTACAGTGTGGTGTGCCCATATTAGTGCGCACGGTGTGATTAGTACATACATAAGCAGGTTGTTCGCCGCGTAGGAACAGTGCTTCATATGCGCTGCTCGTAGTACAGATCTGTACCTCGAAACTGATTTGACTGAGGCAGCGTTTTGGCCCACCAGTGTCTTTTCTCGCATCCTGGCGGAATTCATTGAACTACGTAGGATGCCAGGATGATTCAAAAGTTGCCAACTTCGTCTTCCTCGACTCCGCTGTTTCCCAGCGATTGAGCGTAAGATGCATCACATATTCCCAGGTGCCAACAGACACTGTATCATATATTCGGTGTCTCGATTCATCATACCAACACTAGCAAGTCATCATCGAAAGCACTGCCTCTGTCATAGTAGCCCCTGATATTGGGCTTCCTACATCACACAAATGCCAAATGTTGGATACGCCATCAACTGTCTCAAGTTTTACATCTTATGCAGTGCGTGCCATACGAATGCGTAAGAATAAGTCGTTGGCGACATCGATTGCTATCAGGTAGTTACATGGAAATATATGGTCTCCTCGTCCTCGTTCTCGCGCTTCTCCAAAGACTCCGAATGCCACATTACCCTGGATCGTTCAGCTGTGCAAGACCTGATGGTATCTTGAGAATGGAATATCAAGAGAAGTAGGCCAAGCCACAAGGGGACTTCCGATATATCTCAAGCCATAGACCAAGCTTCAGCCCCATTTGAAAACTTCGGCAGGAAAGCTGATTAAGGTTTGTCGAAAGATGGAAAGTTGCTGCTATCTGGACGCATGATTCTATACATGATGCGGCTCCAAACAAGGTGGTGACGTGCGTCGTTGATGCTGTGGCTGAGGCGGAGTTGGTCCCACGAGACACCAAATCCAACAGAGCATAATTGACGATAATAGTTAGCGCAATTATGTTCCCAGCTATTCCCAAGAATAGCAATATTAGCCCGATCAAATACAGTATGCAGTGCATGGCCCCCATTCAGTGTGAAATACAGCTACCTGCGCCATCACCATGTCGCAACTGATTGCCCGCCTCGGATTTGCAGTTCTGCACACGGCCGACGCAGATGTATCGATATCTAATACCCGAAATATGAGATGTGGTGTAAGAATGTGGGCAAAGGAACCCGCCCTCCGATACTACCCTTATCTTTATTCTTTTCGTGGTGTAGCCCCATCCGAGCCCTGCGAATTATGTGGCTGATCCATGATCTGTGGACACAGCAGGGATAAATGGGATCAACAGGATCACTCATCAGAGCCATCACATACGTTTCGGAGTATGTTGCGAAACGCACTTCCCTCTTGTTCTAAAAATCCCCGTTACTGTTGTGCAGTACATTCTCGTCTTCTTAAAGAATGATTGCTACCCATGCAAATGCCAGGGAACCTCATCACGCCACAGCCCATCAACTGGGGCAAAATACGAGGAAGAAACCTGGAGCTGAAGCTAAGGCTTGATCAGCTCCTAGCGCTCCACCGTATATATCCACTGCCGAGCGAGTCCAATATTCGAATGACGACAGTGGTCCTTGCTGTCTTCTTGAACGACGTTGTCAAAAACTTCCGACTCGCCAAGGCACTAGTATGGCATCGCCCTCAAGACACCTAGACGATAAGGCATGCGAGAATTTTGTCAAAGTTGAGGGTGCAACCACTAGTCCTTTAGCAGCTCCCTAAGTGGTGGCTCCCATTCAAACTATGCCAATAGTGATCTAGTGGCATCTTTAGCATTGTTTGACCAGCACACTGCCACATACTAAAATGCTGCCAGTCACTCTCCAGAACGGCTGACTCGTGGGAGAAAATAAAAAGCCCCTGAACTGGGGTGAGACGTCTCCGCCTGTTGAGGCTGCTGAGGCTTATAAGGTTGCTGGGGGTACGAATCATATATCTGTATATATACCAAGAGTACTCCCCCATTTTGTCGTCGCAGACTTGGTTTTGCTTTTCTTATTCTCTCATCACAAGTTTCAATTCACTCTCCTTTTCTCACTTTACCTTCTACCTCAATTCATCAATCAATACCGCTAAATAACCATGCAACTCAAACTCTTCTCCATCCTGGCCCTCGTCGCCACCGTCGTAGCAGATGAGGCTGTCGAGAAGAAGCGTGATATTGGAGATGATCTGTACGTATCCTACTATCATCATACTCATAGTTATCATCCATGCATTCCGAATAAAGAACCCAATAAACAAACCAAAATAAAAATAAAACAACAAGAATCCGCAGAAAGCTAACTCTCCTTACCCCATAAACAGCGAAGGCATCGCCTCCGGCATCAAAGGCAGCTTCAATAATCTGATAACGGCCATCGGCAACATCCCTCCAAACGTTGCCTCAGTCCTGGCAACCGCGGTTCCCCTGCCCACCGGCACGGATTTCCAAAGCTACATCAACTCCATCGTCAGCGACGTGAACGACGGCACCCCGCCCGCCTGGTACACCGGCTTACCAGCCGATGCCAAGAGCTTCCTCAGCTCTAAGGCCTCCGAGCTCGCCACTGTCGTCCCCACTGCTGCTCCAACTGATGTTTCGACCCAGACGACAAGTGGAAACTACGCTCCGGCCGCCAGGCCAACAGGTGCCATCATGGGAAGCCTGGTTGGCGCTGCTGGTGTGCTGGGTCTTGCTGTTATGCTGTAAGGAGGCGATTGAGATGAAATGCGCATGGGGATGGCTGAATAGTTTTGCGACGTTGCCGCTTCCTCATTATCTCGATTTGAGATTGTCTGCTGCAGGGCCCCTGGGAAGCTTTTTTGCTGTTTCCCTCTCTTCCGTTTTTCTCTTCGGTGATATCCCTTGAACCTTTTTATCCTTGTATTTTTGTTTTTCTTCAAAATGGTCTTCCCCTGTATACAGCTCAATGGGGTTTAGAGGGGTCAGGATAGGACTTAATGGTCTAATTTCCAGTGATGTTTTTTTTATCCCATTGGTGTACCTTTTTGTTTTTGCTCGCCTTACACATGTGACGTTGAAT